AAGGGAGAGGGATGGAGGGAAAGGGAGTGGGGAGGGAGCAAAGGAAAAGATAAACTAACTTTTGCAGCGCCAACAGTGTGTGTGTGTGTGTGTGTGTGTGTGTGTGTGTGTGTGTGTGTGTGTGCGCGCGCTCATCTAGCCTTAGCATGAAAAGAGAACCACCCTCCCTGACCCAAAAGCCTTCCCAATTCACCTAGACTCTGTCAGATAACTCTCAGAGGCCCAGAGAAGCCACACAAAAAGCAGTGTGTCTCACTGGGGGGGCGTCTAGGCAAGTGCTCTCCCGCTGAGCCACACCCCCAGTCCTTGGGGAGGGGGGTTGTCCAGTGCAGGTGGCGTCTGACAGAGGACGCTGTCAGGCTGAAAAGGGAGACTCTGAAAACTCTGACTGGGAAAATGCCTGACATCCGCACATCTTTTTCAGGTAGGATTTCTTTTTTTTGGTTCCATGTTTTTACTCTGATGACGCTTGCACGTACATACCTGGGCCTTCAGACACTAGTTAGCTTTTTTATGTTTTGGTTTTTAAATCTTTTTTTTTTCCTTTTCATTTTTCTTTATTAAGAAATTTTCTACTCACTCTACATACCACCCACAGATCCCTCGTTCTCCCTCCTGCCACCCTCCAGCCCTCCCTTCAGATAGGATTTCAGTGGCTCCGGATGGCTTGGAACTTATTACACCATGGGACAGATGAAGAACATCCTCCTGCTACAGCTTCCCTAGCTTGATGCTGCCACGTCCAGCTGTTTGCAAGCTGCTGCTGTCCTGACTGCTTCCTCCTCCCCCTCCCCTTCCTCCTCCTCCCCCTCCTCCTCCTCATTTGTGACAGGGTCTCACCATGTAGACCTGGCTAGTCTGAAATTCACTATGCAGACCCAAACTCACAGAGATCCTCCTGCCTCTACTTTTAAAGTTATTCACCATGCATGGTTGCTCAAAAGAGTCTGCTTGTTTGTTTGTTTGTTTTGAGACAGGGTTTTCTCTGTGTAGCCCTGGCTGTCCTGGAACTCACTCTGTATGTAGACCAGGCTGGCCTCCAACCCGCAGAGATCTGCCTGCCTCTGCCTCTTGAGTGCTGGGATTAAAGGCGTGTGCCACCACCCCCCAGCTGGTTTTGAGTCTTAAACAAGATAATTTATTCAAGTGTGGGGCACATGGGTCAATAGAAACTGGAGTCTAACAGTCCCTATCTGCTTGGATGAGATCCAGAGGGGCCAGTAGAGACAAAAACAAATGTATCCCTCCAGGGCTGTGTTCCCAGCTCAGCACAGCCTTTGATCCTACCGCCTCGCCACAGAGGGGGCTGTCCCCCCATACATGACTGTAACCTCCTCTGGCTATTTCATTCACTGAACCCCCACTTAGTGCTTGGCCCTGGTAGATCTGTTTTCACCACACCAGCCATCATCGGGTAGATAGGAACATGGGTTCAAAGCCGTCAGGCAACGGACTTGTTAAAGTCACACTACCAGGAAGAAGCAGCGACCAGAAACCCTTCGGAGTGACTTCAAGTCCTGGGTCTTTTCCAACATGGCTTTATGGATCTAATCCGCCTAAATCACAGCAGGTACCTACAGGATGTTTGTTCATGGACAGGCTAGTGGTGCACACCTTGAATTCTAGCACTTGAGAAGCAGGTGGTTCTCTGAGTTCGAGGCCAGCCTGGTCTGTGGAGGAGTTTCAGGACAGCCAGGGCACAGAGAAGGCTGATCCATGCAGAATTTTCCTCATTTACTAAGTAATGACCAGCGGGGAATGTAAATGCTCCCACTCATCCTGTTTGTGGTACTGGAAATGGAACCCAGGGGCTGGAACATGCTAGGTAAGTGTATTACTGTTGATCCATACTCCGGACCCCTTACTCACTGGTGGATTCTAGGCAGACATTTTACCACTGGATAGCTTCCCCAGGCCCACACTTGGGGATTCTAGGCAGGAGCTCTACCACTGAGTCACATTCCCAACCCCTCACTGGGGGATTCTAGGCAGGGGCTCTACCACTGAGTCACACCCCAGCCCTCACTGGGGGATTCTAGGCAGGTGCTCTACCACTGAGCCACACCCCAGCCCCTCACTGGGGGATTCTAGGCAGGTGCTCTACCACTGAGCCACACCCCAGCCCCTCACTGGGGGACTCTAGGCAGGGGCTCTACCCCTGAGCTCTGGCTCTAACAGGCTTCTTTTACCAGAGAATCCCAAGCAGTTTACTTAGTAAAGGGGCTACCGAACGGGCCTTGAATTGGCACCCATATTGCAGCCTCCCACAGAGCTTTCAAAGTGCCCTCTGCTGCACCTTATCTCCCAGGAGAAAGTGACCTTTGGCACATATTCCTCAAGACCCTCTGACGGCCGGAGGCTGTTCAAGGGTCCCTGTCCCGAGGGCTTGCCCTCCGCACAAGGCTGGCATCATGCACTCTGTAGGTGCTGACTCTACGTTCTGTGAACGGAGCCCTCAGGCTGGAAAGAACCCTCCCAGCCCCGAGGGACCCAGGGCACCCACTCACACTGAATGTACCAGGCCCTCCAGATGGCGTTGTTGAGGCGGATCTTGTCCCGGCACAGCAATTTGAGGCCTTTGAAGTTCTTCCACTTGGGAGAAACCAGTTTGCCACTGTGGGAGAGGATGAGAGGAAAAGATGGGTGGGGGGGACGACGAGAAGATGGAGGCGTTTCTATACTTAACTACCCTTCCCTTCCATCATCTGTAACTGGGATTTCCCCGGAACCCCCAAGTCCTCTCTATTATCTAACATGCCCGAAATTCCTACCCTGAAGTCAAACCGTATCAATAGACATCCAGACCCCACCCCGTATCCATTGGTCATCTCCCACCCAAAGGCAGGTACTTCTTTTTTGGGGGGGCGGGGGTTTCAAGGCAGGGTTTCTCTGTGTAGCTTTGCGCCTTTCCTGGAACTCACT